CCCCAAAACCCCAAAACCCCAAAACCCCGCGATGCTTTATCAAAATAAAATAAATTTGAATTGAGATATTGGATTTTAATGACTAATTACTTATATTTTGACTTAAGCAAGCCCATTGATAATTAGCTTATTATATTGACTGTTTATGGAAAGATTATATATTATTCGTAAAATTTTACACTAAATAACTTACTTAAAAATTAAGTGAAATATTACCCTTATGTAGCCTTGCTCTTACGCATCAATAATCCATTAAACCAGAGTTTTCTGCTATTTAATGCTAAACTTACTCATTCCCTCAGTTATTCACTTATTTTCACTCAACTTTATTAAAATACTCGTGTTATTTAAACTCAATCAATACTCTCTTAGTTACTAGTCGATCATCTTTGCTATGCCAAAATATCTCCGCCGATATCCTCTCCAATATTATTTTGTTCCTGCAACAGTTACTCTTCCTCCGCCTTTCTAAGCATCTCCTCATCTAATTCAGCCTAATCATAAGTCACCTATTCCTCCTAGTTAAGATATTGCTGAATAAGTTTCGCTTTCTCGTAGCGCTTTTTGCTATAGTACTTATTTAATTAGAGTCTGTAGTTCTTTGACATTCTTACCAGGCATTGTGAGAGCAAACAACAAGCTCCCACTGTAGCCACGGAACCCAAGAAAATAAGAACATGTCTTTGCAATATAAACTCTTAGATTGAGAACTCTGTGCCCTAAATTGGCTATAGCATTTCATCTTAGGAGCTCTACTATGCTAAATTATTGAGAAGGCCTTTTATTTGAGGCAAGTTTGCCTTAGTTTTAATAAAATCACTCGATACCTAGGCCTTAGAACTCTTACCATGTTCACTCTTCTTTTTACTTCCTTTATTTTACTATCGACTGCTATTATCAAAACTACTTGAATAAGTTGCAGCATTAGATACTGTTTCCTTGCTGTCTCCATTGGGAACGCTTTTTCCTCCAATTTCCAATCTATTAGTGATCTCAAATATTTAAGGCACTATTTACTTATCCTAATCGTGACTCTTACTATTATTTGTCATATTCCCACAATGAGGATTATCATTAGATTACAGATGATCATCCTTATTATCAATTTTCAGAGAGCCTGTCTATTGATTCTAAATTTATTTATTCTCTGTTTGCGATTATGATGCACTCATTGTGTTTATCAGAGAATGTGATTGTAGCTGTGTTAATTGCTATTACGAATCCACCCAATATGCCCTGCCTAGTGAGACCTCCTATGAGAGCTGAGTCATCATAGAGAGGCCTAAAACAAGTGCCAGGAGTTAAGGACCCTTGTACGAGACTTGAAGATATCTCGAAGATTTATTTTTGAAGCGCCCTTGAAATTATTGCATACTAGGTGGATTACTTCTCTCTTTTCTATTATTATTAAATTTCAATTATTATTTTAATAAAAGATTTAATTTGCAGAAAATGATGTACAATAATCCTTCAAACCCAATTATCCATCAAATACTCAAGTCCTGTCTAACTAAGTAATCATAAATCACTCATGATAGCATTGAATTTCTAACATTCTATTGATAGGGATATCTTTATGAGAGAGACAGCATATGATTACGATTAGAGTATATTCTTTATCCAAAAGGATGAGGGACAGGATTTGATCAAATTCAGCTTCTCATGCAATGGCAGCAAATAGATATTAATCAATGGAGGTGAGGAGATGCTTCAAGCTCTCTATTCCGGTATATAATTGAAAAATTAAAGATAAACTTTGTAGATAATTTATTGCCAAAAGATATGCATCACCCAGATTATGATGTTACTCTAGGTATTGATGGTTCAAAGCTTCCTAAAACACAAAGTAAGCATATCATTTTTATAAAACTTCCTAAACTTTCAACCCTCAATCTATCAAGCAAATATCCTGAGCGTAATTTGATTATAGAAACAAGCAAAAAGATGGATGAGGACACATTAACAAAGATCAAAGCTTAAAATGAGGAGATAAGAAAGGACAGAGACAGAAAGGTAGAGGAGCTGTGCACTAAGTTCGCTTAATTCAAGAGAGATTTCATGGGTGCGCCCATTAGAAGAGCACTTCTAAATCTTCAAAAAGGTATTTCATATTCAATATAATTGCTTTCACCAGGCTAGGGAAATCCAAAGGACTCTTGCGAGATTCCATATAGAGCTGATGAGAAATATTGGGTCGTTGCAGCTAGAAACGAAGTAACTATATCATTCGCTATGCAGTTTGATAATCCAACTGACAGAGCACTTGCTAGAATTTTCTTACTTGTAAGAGATTAATAGCTTGTTATAAAGCAATACAAATCAAAATTATAGGAATTTTCAGATAGTAAGAGATATGTCAAGAACCCACCAGCTATTATTTATCACGATATCAAGTTCCCAGAAAACGTTTCTGCCATATTCCCAGATGCTAGCAAAGAAAAATACTCAAATGGAGTAATCTCTTTTAGTAATTATCCTGAAAACTTATAACTACTTTAGCATTATTCGATAATCATCTCAAGCCATCATTTGATCAGCCTTTGACTTTCCTAATTGGATTCAGACAATACTTGCATTATCATTTCCATGCCATTAAGGCCTCACTTCACTCAAGAATGAGAAAGAGAGTCGAGACATTCCAAAGAGTTATTGCTAAGGCAAAGAGAGACCAGGATGCACCTAAGAAATATAAAGATACTATTGGAGGAGCTTAAAATGAAGATTTGAGAGAGGAAAGGAAACAGGAAGAAGTATTCTAGTTCAAGTAGTAGCGATGAGAGATATCAGTTCTTGTATAGAACTTAGGGTCTATGAATTTACAAACATCCATATATTTATGATCATTTGCCAATAAGCATTTAACTTCACTGCAATTAAATATATATTAACACTTATAAATGAAAATAGCGATAATCACAATGACTATATTCAAATCTTAAAATATTTCTTTATCTTTAAAACTAATTAAACATCAAGGGGACAAAATCTAATAGCTTCATATAACTCAACTCATCTAGTCAAAAAGAGTTTGATTCATTTTTTTAATCTCATCTTGCCTCTTTTCTCTGCGCCTTTTTTCCTCTTGAAGTTATAGTCCCTTTATTAGTATTGCAAGAACGAATATGAATGAGGTAATCCAGAAATATGCAAATGGTGTGCTTTCCAGATAGAATTTCAAAATCATAAACAAGCTAATAAAGTTCTGAGCAATTGTAAATTTGCAGTAGAAGCACAGTTCTCTTCTGTCTCTGTATGCTGTCAAGCAAAACATCATGTATATAAAGTAAGGTATTCCAATCAGGTAAAAATTGAATTGGTTGATCTCTCTAAATATGAATAGATTCCCGATAATGGTAAATGCATAAATACCAGCAAAGACAGCTGTGAACGTACTTCCACTAACATCTACCTAATTAAATGAGTAAGACAAATCATAAATATTAAGATTATTCTCTTACTTTGTCTGAAACACAAAAGAAGGTGCGTCTTAGTGACTCATAGTATAGTCTTTAATAGGGCTTTAGTTTCTGCTTACTTAATTTTCTCATTAGAGGAGTGAACATATGAGCATTGAATTTGTTCACCATGTATAGATCTATATAAACTAGAAAACTTATTAAGTCTATGATTAGGAATGTAAAAGATGCTACCATTTCTAAATTAATTTGATATTCTAGTTCTACTAAATTAGTAATACGGGGTTTTGGGGTTTTGGGGTTTTGGGG